TATATAAACTATGTTTTTAGAGTATTGTTGAAACAGTCACATAGCTATACATTTTACATTTTTAGCCTTCTGGAACAGAATATCCTGTCGGATACGGTAAAGGCTCTTCCCCATTTTTATGACAAATTAGAGGGGATGGTTCATGGATCTGGACCTTTCATGGAACAGAACTTTTGTTGGGCGGAAACCACGGACAATAAATGTCTTTCTCTGGACTGGCGCCTTCCATTTTGTATGAAATTGAATTTGCTCAAGTGGATGTGTCATTTTCCTTTCTGAAAATTTAGTATCATTTGGATTTATTTTTGTACCGAAGATATTGGCTTTGAACAGAACAGCCAGAGCATTCTGTTTTATGTTTTTGTAAATAAAAAAATTCAGAAAAGTTGCTAGCTGTTTAACTTTTTGTATTAGGCTTCCTCCATTGGCACAAAATTTAGTGAACAACAATCTTAAGTTTTATGAAAGTATAATTCAAGGGATTTTGCTTTTGTTGGAGAGTTTCTATAACTTCTGTGGAAAAGTTCCGTTGCCAAAAAGCTATGCTGGTTGATAGCTGAAGGAAGAAATTGTTTGGTAAACATTTTATAAAAGCTGCTGTATGTAGTAGAAACTTTGTGCATAGTTTTTCAAGAAATTTCATAGTAAGTGTTGTGAAACTTTATACATAGTTTTACTAAATGATCAGAATGATCATTTATTTTTCACATCATCGTGATTTTCGTTATATGTGAAGCTTTTGTTTTGTTGGATAATTGATATCTCAAATTTATATGATACTAATGATTACTTGATTCAGGATTTACCGAATCAAGGCAGCTGCAAAGAAATTTGTCCCTTGGCCTATAGAGATACGATTTTGTGAGCCTAGCAGCTCAACCAATCAGACTAAATCCCCACCAAGGTTTGCTTGCTTTACTGTGTTTCGTAATCTAAATTTTTATTGTGCCCTCAGTATGCTTCACACTATGTGAAGATGAATATTTCTTTTTTGTTTCGTTGATTTACCAGTTTTGGTACTGAACTCTTTATCTAAGTAGAATTTAGTGACGTTGCAGTTTGAGGTTCTGGTTTAGAGCAAAAGGAAAACTTTCAGATGATCAGGCTTTGCATAGGTATGCACCCATTTTATCAGTAAGCTAAGCTGATAGTACCCCCTTTTTTTTTTTTTTTGGGTCAATTATCGGGTTATTTATGTTTGTATCTAGCACATTTAGTAAATACATTCACAATGTAGCTCATTTTGGGCCTCTCTTTTACCCCTTTTCATACTTCCAAATGTAAGTAAAATTTCATGGAGCATTCAACATGGATTACTGATTATTGTTTTCCAGTATGGTGATTGTTTTGTATATGATTAATTTCTGTAGATATTCTATTGTTCATATTTTGATATCTGTATGTAGATATATAATCGATTGTTGTTGTATGATTATTTTGCAGATGCGTTGTAGCATATGCTTCAGATTTGATATTTTCTGGTGTAAGTTTGAATCCCCATCGTAGAAGGGGAGTTAAGTCATCCCAAGTTAGTTTGGACCACGCGTAAGTCCTTTTCATGTATGGTGTCCCTTTTTTCTTCCATGCTGGTAGTGATTGAAAAATTCTTATTAAACATATATATATATATATATATATATATTTCCAATTTCTCTCAGGATGTGGTTTCACCGCCCAGTTAGAGCTGATGACTGGTTACTCTATGTGGTAGTCTCAAAATCGATATTATTTCTCACATTGTTTAGTTTTGTTAAAATGCTGATGCATGCATGCCTTCTTTTAACAGATAGTAAGTCCCATTGCCTATAATGCACGCGGATTTGTTTCAGGCCAAATGTTTAATAGAAATGGAGAGGTAAAAACTTTGCTGTTAGGTTTGTATTCATCCAAGCATTGCTTGAGTGCGTGATGCACTAAAGTTATTGCATGTTTTGATGGCAGCTCATTGTTTCATTGACTCAAGAGTCCCTGAATAGGCCAATTAGACCAATTTCTGCTCCGACATCTAAGTTGTGAGCTGGTGTTGCAGTATACCATGGCACCTAAAAGCACGGCCGGCGATCATGTCCCGGTGTACCAGTTTTAGTTCAGGTTCCGGGTTTCTGCACCGGGTTTTACAGCTAAATAGAATAATGGAATCATAGTATTTGTTATCAAAATGCTTGCAAGAAGTGTGTAATATTCTGTTAAGATGTAGCAGTTGCCCAGATTGCTGACATTGTCAGCCTCCTAACTGTTGTCCTTGGCCTAAGTATCATAAATTAACTAAAGAATGTTTTACAGTTTTATGAAGTGAAATTAAACATGTAATCGAATGTTTAAAAGTTTAAGTGAAGCAACCTCTTCAATTTTTTTTTAAATTTAAATTTTATGATTACTCTTGTTTTGGATAGGTGGCTTGTGATGGATGAATCTACTTCATTAGATATCTATATCAAACTAAAAGCTGAGGGGCGAGGAGAAAAAAGGCTTAGCAGAGGATCCGGATCCTTGTCGGAAATCGGATAATGTCCATTTTCAAGTAGTTTTTCGTGCACATGCTTTGATGATGGCTTTGCCTCATCTTCAAAATATATGACCAGTTTGTTGACGACATTAAGATTTCTTAAAAGACAATATAAATTAAAGATTTCTATACACATCAATTTATTGACGAAATTAAGATTTCTTAAGAACAAACCTCCTCATTCACAGTACATTTTTTTTAGTTTAGAAAAAAAAAATCTTCATTGAGCTCAGATTATCTTACTTTTATTTGGTGCCAAATGTATGCTAGCTTCGTTTAAATATTTTTCTAAAGCTTTAAATTCTAAACTTTAACCCAATTTCTACAAGATTATTATTATTATTTAAATGGTTAGCCGAGTATGGTAGATAAAATATGAATGAGAAATTTGTATAAATACCACTTGAACTTTTAGGCAAGTGTTCCATTATAACCTGAACCTTTAATTTTTATGTTAACCACCTGAATTTTGTAAGGTGTTACAATCCACCACCTAGGTCTAACCGCGTTAAAGTTTCCGTTAAGTTTAAGGATATTTTTGTATGTTCCATATAACTAAAAATAAAATTTAAAAAACAGAATTTAAAAAAAGGAAAGAAAGATGTCATTACTGCTAATCCACCCTATGCATCAGTGTTCTCCGACCAACAAAAAAAACCCTATGCATCAATGTTCAACCAAAATTTATTTTGGAACACATCACCAGCAGCCACCCCCTCGATTTTCACCCCCCTCCCATTCCACAATGTATGATTCTCCTTCTTTATCATATGCATAATAATAGGAATATACCTTTTTTCTTTTTACACAAAATAATAGGAATATACTTAAGAGCACCTCCAGCGCATGGACCAGCCTGGGGGAAAGGCTGCCAGAGGGAGCCCGAGGCAGCTCCAGCGCAGGGCCCGTAGCCCGGTTTGGTGGTGGGTCCCACGAGCCCGAGCAAGCCCAAGGGCAACTTCTGCCTGGGCTGAAGCCCGAGTTTTGTGACGTCAGCGCTGGCATCACGCTGACGTCAGCGCACAGTAAAACAGTTTTTTTTTTTTTTTTTTTTTTTTCCCAAAAAAATTCGAAAAAATTTTAAAAAATTTTGAATTTTTTTTTTAAAAAACCAAAAAATTATTTTTTTTTTCCTTTAAA